AATATATATTAATATATATATATATATATACAAAACCCAGCAGGTCTGACTCTCAGATCAGGAAATACCAAACAAGACCAGATGAGGTCATTCATCCAAGCAGCCTTTTCCTAATTCATTCATCTGTTACATCATGTTAGAGTCAGTTTAACTTTAATATTTCGCTTTCTGCTCCACCAGGAGCCTTTGGTTGGAAAGTTTAAACGTGTGTGTTTCTTACTTTTATTGTGCTGAACATTGTCAGAAATGTTGAGTTTCTGCATTAAAACTCTGAATGATGAAGCATTAACTGCACACTGAGCACACTGATGACAGTTCATGTTGTGGAGAACATGAAGGTACATGTTACAGTTACAGCTTCAGTAATACACGTTGACATGTAGACCGACCATCTCTGACATCACTGCCCGCTGGCTCAGCTAAAAATAAACACAATACAAACACTGAGTTTTCACTTTATGAGTTTATTCCAGCGTTACGTCTCTCAAAATATTACAAATGTGAGCTCATCTATTAGAGTGAATCTTAACGATGCAACCAAAGATTTAGATTAACAGATGATTCATCTGCTGATTATTATTTTAATAAATCTTTTAGTTTATTAAAAGTCCAGAAGATAAAGAAAAATGCATCGAAAGTTTAGAGAGTGACATCTTTATAATGTGTTTATGTAAAAACACTCATTAGGAGATAAAAGCTGGTGATTTTAAATTTCTTTAAAGATTTTCTCAATTATTCCTCATTTTGTTTGACTTATATTGAACTGATTCCAGCGACCTGTCCCACCACACCTCTCTCTCCCAATGCATGCTGGGAGAGTCTCCAGCCCCCCCTCATCACAGAGAGGGATAACCAGTTTAGAGAATGGAGGTACTGACATGTTGTAGTGTCTGTCTGAGAGCAGCAGGTGGCAGCGTAACGCAGGCATGACATCAGACCACAGGAGGAAACAAAGAGTTGCTGCTGGAACATTTAGAAAACGACAATCTGGATGAAACATTCGCTTCGGCTAAAATGAGACGATGACGACAAACTATTTAAAAACAAAATGAGAGAGAGAGATACTCGGAAGAGGGGAGGAGGGGAGGAGCAGCTCTCGGGGTTTGTGGTGACATCACTCAGATTAACGGTGAGGTCACGTTGTTGCTCGAGGAAAACACATTTCTGTGGCGACTGATGACGGTTATTTAACCTTCGGTCTGTCCCGGTGAGGTTTGTGTAACACACACACACACTGACGTAGTAACACACACACTGATGCAGTAACACACACACATTGACCAGTAACACACACTGACACGCACATTCACATCGGCCCAGTTGAAGCTTGTTGGCCGACAAGCTGCTCAACTGGAAGGGGTCAGAGTTCAGCGTCTCTCTGGAGGAGAAACTGTTGTTGTTTTATTCCACCAGCTGTTCAGTGGATTTCAAAACAGAAACTTTAGGATCACACGTCTCTTCCTCCAGCAGACGATACCAACGCCAGAGAAATTCAACGATTGTCAAAAAACAAAACAATAAATCCCATGTACTTCAACATTTATTCCCATTTGCATTAATGTTTTCTGAATGGAGCTTGAACGCATCATAATGTAACCCCATTCCACCTCCATATGTTAGCTGTTAGCTGTTAGCTGAGCAGGACTGTGCTGCCCACCTGCTGCTAACCGCTAACCGCTAACATTAACGAGCTCTCTTTCTGACGATTTCAACAGTTTGTTGTTGCAAATGTAGAATTATCAGGTAAATTAGTCTCTAGCTTTGACCCGCGGAACCGACGGTATCGTAGAAAAGTTAGTGCCTTAACAATTCATAATATTAGTATCAAATTATTATCGCCATGATGAGAGCCGTGAGGAGGCAATAGATATGTTCTGAATTTCACACGAAGAGAAAAACATGTTAAATGATAAATAAATGAGCACACTTCAGTCTAATGACTCGATCCATGTAGACATCCGCACGGCCTCCAAACCTCGACACGGTTATAATTTAATTTACACGGAGTGAATCATTTATCAGCACAAAAGCTTTCATTAAACACAGCAGGAGCTCCGACACGCTACTCATTTATTACACTTCACAACAGGCTCACTGGAAACCGCTGTGTGTGTGTGTGTGTGTGTGTGTGTGTGTGTGTGTGTGTGTGAGAGAGAACTGCACTGTAAGATACTCTTAATTAAGCCGGATTCAACCTTGTGTCCAACTGCAGAAGGACATGCAGCTGCCCTCCTCACAGTCACGACTAAAACATCTCCTCATGTTTATGGCTTTAGAACAAATAGAAACATCCTCCAAACAGACTAATTATTAACATTATTTTCAGCCTAACTTGTTCCTCTCAGTAGATGTTGTGTTTCTCTGATGAAGGATGTTTTTTATTTAAACAATCTAAGGACAGGCAAGATTACAAACAAGGGAACAGCACACTATTAACACACACACACACACACACACACACACACACACACACACACACACACACACACACACACACACACACACACACACACACACACACACACACACACAGCTCAGATAGATTTTTGGCAAACATGCTGAGATGACTTTTTTTATTCCACCCATTCAATCAGAAAGTCCTTCAGCTGTTAACCTCCAGTAAGCGGGACAGTCATCCCGTTTAGAGAGCAACACTCTCCATTAAAGAGATTAAAAAGAGCTGAAAGTCTAAAAGTATTGCACGATGTTAAAGTCAAACTTAAATCACATTTGGTCCTTCATTTTTCAACGTCAATGTGTTTTTCATGCACGTAAAAAAAAAGAGAGAGAAAAGGTGGAAAATAGGAGAAATGCTGCTTTACATCGGTTTGATGTTGTTTGTTTGGTGGCTCGTTGAAGAAGCTCAGATCCAGATCAAGACGTGTGATTCGAAAGTTCGATAAGGAGCAAGAACTTAAGCAGCACACTAATGTGGTTTTGTTTAGTCTTGAGTAGCCGCTGTGATCGTCTGCCTGAAGAAAGCTGACGATGCTGCTTTATGCAAATACTGATTAAAATGGAGCCATTTGATTGGCTGTATGGAAACAGTGTCCATCTATGTAGATAATTTTAATGAACTATAAATGTCTCCTGTTTGCTTTCAGATTTCTTCTCAAAGGCCACCTGACACACAGATATGTCAGCCGAAGCAGATCATTTCAGTTTATAGTTTGTCTTTGTTCTGAGTAATAGAAACATAATCCTTCTAAAATGTGTGAAAGATGCATCTCTGTGACAGCATCACCACACACAAGACAAAAAGAGTCTCCTGAGTGGTTCCCCACTCCGGTGTCCAATAAAACCCCATCATGTTCCGTCACCGTGCATAATGAAAACTGGTGCTTTGCCGACGATCTAAATTGCCAATCGACTGTGAAATAATGAGCGGGTTTCTACGGCGGTGGAGAACGCACACACAGTTAACGCTCTGCACGGTAAAGGGCAGGTGGAGATAAGAGAGCTGTTCATCTGTGCTGCGCTGGAGACACTTTAAAGAAAACAGGTGGGACGCCAGATAAAGAGACGCGTTGACGTCAGAACTGCTGACTCTGCGGTTGTTGTGGTTGATGATGTGGGTGTGTGTGTGTGTGTGTGTGTGTGTTGTGGGTGACTGAATAAAAAGGAGAAACATCCTCATCAAAGACACCAACAAACTAAATCCAGTCACTTAAATAACAGAGGAGGACTACGCTGACGAGGGAGCGCTCCGATTGGCTGAGAGGCTCCGACGTCAGCTGGAGGATCTCGTTATAAGATCCTGTTACACACACAGGTAGGACGGACGGACCTGTTGATGTGGAGACAGCATCTCGATAACCTGGTGGTGGTGTTAAGCCCCAACCATAACGACTAAAAGAAAGAAGGACAGAAAGAAAGACAAAGACAGAAAAACCAAAAGAAGGAAGGACAAAGACAGAAAGAACTAGAACTCTTGACTTGGCCAGGTGTGTCTGTAACGACCACTGAAGTATCGTTAGGAGTAGAAAGTGAGGAGTCAGCAGTCGGGTTATGGCAGAACAAAACAGGCAATAAAAGATGTTTTCAGAAAAGTGTGAATAACCGCAACCATGAGAAGGTCCTTGAGCACACAGCCGTAACTTGAAAACACAAAACTTTACACAGTTTGCTGCAGCAGAATGTGAGATTAGCCGTGGACAGACACAGAGAAGCACACTCACTCACTCACTCACTCACTCACCCAAACACACACAGATGCAAGCGACACACATGATCCTCCTGGCTCAGAAACAAAAAAGCTTTTTTTTGTTTATAAGCCCGTCACATTGTTTTTTTAGAAGGACTCTTTTGTTTTGTTCGTTTTTTAAAGCAGCTATAATCAATATTCATATATAATAACAATGTGATGATGTGCATTTCATCTGCAGTTCCCAGCTTTACGGCGAGTTTCATTGTTTTGGTTCACTCTCACCGCTCTCATGACGGTGTTTTTCGGCAGCAGCCCACATTACACCACCTGCTCAGCATCAGACAGCAGACGGACACAGATATCAACTAGCCGGTGAACGTAGCGGAGCATTTAGCAGTTGAAGAGACTTCACTCAGGCGTTGGTGGAGACCACGGAGATAATATTGGACTTAATGTGCGTCAATGTGGTGTTTACAACTCGTTTCTGCTGCCAAGTGGCCAAATAAATCAGTTCCTGCAGGCTGTCAGCTTGCTATCCCTTCATCATCATCATCATCATCATCCTCATCATCATCATGTAGAAAAGCCCATGTCCAGTGAATGTGGAATGTTTTTCCTCACCATCTTCCCCCGCTGCTGTGCCGATCGAGTCTCCCTCAGGGTGAAGACGTTGCCGCAGACGGAGATCTCCCTCCAGACGCCGGGTTTGGAGTCCTGGGTGAAGCCGGTTCGAGGGTGCATCACCAGCACGCCGTTGGTGGTCAGCCCGTCCATCTGAGCGTCGCACGTCTTCCACTTAGCGGCCTTCTCCTGATGGGAAAAACCAAGAGGAGGTGAGATCAGGACAAATGATCACTGTGCAGTCCTGAATCTGTAGTTTCGTCATTCGTATATATTTTTATTTATATTGGGACGTGGCCGACACACTCAGCTTTCAGTTAGAGGTCCAGCTTACCTGCTTCACTTCACATTCACTCATTTCTGATTTTAAGAAAAAGATCTTAAAGTTCATAATAATAACCTTTTTTTGTAGACAATTAATAAGCCAAAAAAACCTACAGAGACCTTTTAGAAAGCTGCTAATATATGAAATCGATTTCCCTTAAAAAATATATTAAATACAATTTATTTAAAAAATTGGAATATTTAAAAAAAATTGTCTGTTTGTAAATTGGTGGCAAACATATACAGCTGTCTCTAATGCGGGTTCTTCAACAAACCCTCAGTGGTTGTGTTTCACCTCATTGTATATCTCCAATATTTTATTATTTACACAAATAAAGAACCAAAGAACTCAACAGGGGGCCGAGCACAATAAAGCTGCAGATGGAGCAGTGGACATTCATTCTCGACTTAATTAGCAGCAGCATTTTGTTGGACACACTGAGAACCGATGGCAAAATGTCGGCATGAATAAAAGCCAACAAAAGACATCACCACACAGCACCACAACTCTCTCCTCTCTTATTCTCCGAACACAGCTCACCCCGAGGAAGATGTTCTTGGAGGAGTCGAAGCCCGCGGCGTAGATGCGCGCGGTGTAAGGCGGCGTGCGCTGGCACATGATGCGGCAGGCGAAGCGGGAGATGGTGCTCTGGACCGACTGGGTGTCCGCGTTGCTCTGGCTGCCGGCCACCGTGTCCGTCACCACGAAGTCTATGGGACTCTCCGTCGACCGACCGATCTGGTCGATCGAAGAAGAACGATAGAAGAAGACGTGGTCAACGATGCATTTTACTCACATTGAACACCAAAGATAAGGAAGTACTGAAGTCACACTGAATCTGATAAAATGTGCATCACGTCTGTGTTCAGGTCTGACAAATGCACCTTTGTTTGATTTACAGGAGAAATCCAAGATTGGATTAAAGTAACGTGATATTACAAGAAAAGCCATGGAGGTGGTGATAAATAATGGTTGTAACTTTGTCTGTAAGAGCCGAGGGCTTGTTACCTGGAACATGTCTGTATTGCTGTCCTGGGTGTACTCCACCACCACCGTCTGGGCTCGAGACAGAGTGTAAGAGATGCTGTGCTGGTCTTTGTTGCTTATGGCCTGAAGGAAGAGAGGATGGAAGGTGAGGAGACAAAAGTGTTGCATGCACACGAGGATTGAACCGGAACAATGGATACAAATAGGAAGGGTGGGGCGTGTCCAGCCCCTCTGTTCACTTAACAGATTCCTGGGCGGCCTTATAGCTTATAACACGGACATGTGCTTCCCAGGCTTTTACTAGAGAACGCTCAGTTACCTTCAACCGGACCGGTCACGGTAGTTTCTCCTATAAAGCTTCAGCGTGTTCCAGTTAAACACCGTGTAAAAAAACTATTGTTCAAATACCTTTGAAACTCAGACAGAGCCTTGTACCTCCTTTTCCCTTTTTCTGCTTACTCAGGCAAGCTTTGCTGAACTTCTTGAATGTGCGTGCGTGCGTGCGTGTGTGCGTGCGTGCGTGTGTGCGTGGTGCTTCACTATCACAGAACAATGAGCAAACAGAATTTAAATAAAGCCTTCGGTGGAGCAGCACTTCAGGCCAAATCCACTGAACTGGGAGTGCTTTATTTGATGTTGCCAGACAAATAGAATCATACACCTGCAAAGACGCCATTTTCCCACTCGTGCATTTGTATTTTCTTCATCGTTTTATATGTTTGTAATATGTCTTCTAGCCGTGAAACTCACTTACAGAACCAAAAGTACAACCTAAACTTTCAGTTCAAGAAGAAAAAGGACAGAAACTGCTGATGTGTCGCGTTTTGGTGACTGTCGTCTTGAGATTCTTTGGGATGACTACAT